AGGGACCAAAATATACAAAAACAAGCCAAGGAGTAGATCTATGAAATGAGTTGACAAGCCATAAGCTTTATACCTTACATGCCACAAAATGGAGGTTCAAAAGACGGATCTATAAGCTCCTCTCCAAATGATGAGTCTTCAAGATTTTCCTTCCCCTTCAATATGCGCAAAATATACCACAAAATCTTCAGAAGAGCCCTAAATCACCACACAAAGCAAAAGGGATGAAATTAGGGTTTCAAGATATGGAGGCTGATCCAAAGGTGACCAAATGAGGAAATCATGTCCCTTATAAGTGGTGAAAGCCCAAAAATCATGGTTTAAAATTTGCTTATGTAAGCCACGCATACTCCATGTACACCCAACATACATAGATGAGCATCGCATCTAGGGAATGGCTGGTAAGCTAAGCGAACCACTCCATTACGCCCTGTGTAGTAGCTGTAAGACCTTTTTGCAAATTTTCAAAGTAAGGGTTAATTAACAAACTTTCTAAGTTCAAGTGTAACAAAGAAGAAAAGGAACACTTGAAGGAATAGCTTAAGCTTGTAGATCCAGAGTTACCTTCATTGTAGCAAACCTTCTGAGGTAAAAAACTCTCACCTTGATGGTATTTTGTTCTATATCTATTTTTTGGTGTCATTTATGCATTTTTTAGTGTTTTATGTTAAAGTATATCTTTTTATCTACTCCAAAGCTCTGGATTTTAGATCTTAGCTCCATGGGGGTCCCTTGTTTATAAAAATACAAACTTTGTGAAAGATATTTGTCCTTGAAGAAATAAGAGCTTTATTAAGCTATTTTTTAGTGTTGGGTCCTATTAATCCGTGCATGGTTGTAAAGGTACTGGATTAGGGTATTAAGTCACCTTTTAGGACCATATCTAAGAGTTTGGAAAGAGGTCTTAACTGATCAGGTGCTTAATAGGGTGGATTAGGAGTCTGAGGCGTATGCTGGGTGTACAAGCAGAGTACACCTGCATACTCAGCAGACGGATGCTTGGGCATGGCATTCACGGATTTAGGCCATTCTTTGGAGTTTTAAGATTGGGCCTTGTTAGGTCATTAGACTTCTTATTTGGTCTTTTGATAATGTATTAGGCTCCCTTGGATTTAGGCTTGTGATGGGTTTTGGGACCAATTTGGAAGATTGGGCCATACTGGGTTTCTGGTTGCCATTTAGGAAATTGGACATTTTGAGTAGTTAGGTTGGGACTTGGTTTTGGACCAAGTAAGAAAATGGATAAATGGTCTTTTACATCGGATATGGGTCAAGTAGATTAGATTCTTGATTATGGGTTGAGATCCAATTATTGATTGGATGTTATTTTGATGATGTTAGCGTGGGGATTTTCTGGACCAACACAGCGAGATTCATTGGAGTCTTTCAGTAGCTAGAGGTGTGTTTCCTCACTGTGTTTAGCGGATTGATGGCACCAATGTTGGCCCATGATTTTTTAAGTTTAGGATGCTAGATGTCTGAATGAGTCTTGCATATGTTATGTGTATATGTTTATCGGGTCGGGCTCAATGCCGGTCGGGGCCGGATTACCATTTTGTATGCTATTTATCTTTGTGATTATTGCAAGGGTTATGTGTTTATGCGTTTAATGTTTATATGTATACCATGCAGGGCCCGATGACATATAGATTTGTATACCGAGTGGGGCTTGATGTCGGGTGGGGCCCAATCGACTGAGACGTGTATGTTTTCCCAAAATACTAATACATGTTTTATGATATGTATTGATTTATGAATCTACGAATCGCATGCTAGTTAGAGCTTAGGATCTGCTCAGTATTTACTTGATAGAATACAAGGAGAGATGCCTTTACGTTCCTATGGTATGAGCTTGTAGACTTTCATGCTAGTACTGATCAGTTAGAGATTGGATGGCCTACTTAGGATATGCTTGATTCCGATTACTAAATGCTCAAATTCTGCTTGCTTTGTGCTTTTTAGGAGTTCTTACTAGCTTCAAATAAATAGTAATCAATTATGTTAAGTTACATATTGCAGAAAGTAAATAGTTTTAGAAGGTTACGTTTTAACTTTATTGCTCAACTCTTGTTTGAGTCCAACCGTTGTAGCTTGAGACCTTTCATTCGAAGAATTATCTAGTGTTAGTGACATGTAATTTTATTTTATTTGTGATCTAGTAAGAGGGTACTAGTAAGAGTTCCTTCTGCAACTGATGGTGGAGAGTGGTGTGGTGTTTGCCCTAGGAAAAACCTAGGAAGAGATTTAGTGTTGGGAGTCTTATTTTATGGAGGATGATATGTGTGGATAAGGAGTGACTTGGAGGATTCAAAGTGATCCTTGAGGAAAGTATGGATCTATGTGGAAGGTAGTATGCGCCCATACTACTGGAAGCAATAGATTCGTACTCGAGTAAAGGAGAGTTGCGATGAAACCAGGAAGCTTGTAGGGTATGAGACATCACAATATATTTATGTGTAGTCTGATGGTGTATATGGTCAAAATCAGGTTCTGAGTTGCCCAATTGGATGATCAGTTAGTGGTTCTAGTGTTGGTGAGAGTTCACAATCGGGTTCTAGAGTTGGGCAGTTGGATGATCATACGCGAAAGTTCATTTCGTTTGAGATTACCCGCATCATCCTTAAGCAGAATCATGTGATCATTAGTACAATCAAGGAGGGTGTCAAGGACGCATTGGAGGAGATTGGGCATTTTATGTTATGAGATGGTGGCTTTTATTGAGGCACGTTCGTTAACTTTCAATGAGTTTCAGGCATGTGGGGCTCCGAAGTACTTCACGGAGAAGGAACCAATCACGACTTGGCATTGGTTAGTGGATGTCGCTAACGCCTTCCACACTAGTAGTTGTCCCGATCGGGAAAATGTCATATTTGCTTCCTATCTTTTGAAAGACATAGCTCAAAAGTGGTGGGACGAGGTTGGGCACTCCGTTGGTGATGAGGTAGTTGATTCGATGATAGATGTGACCTTGGTTCCGACCACCTGCTCTCGAATTGCTCACTGTCGTCGGAGGGGTCTGCAAAGTCACAACAAAGAAGGCAGTCAGTTGTTTCCCTAGAGGAGATCCATGGAAGACGCTCCGATGTTCAAGTTAGTGGGAGATATTTGGCTGAGAGTGATGAGTATTGAGAAAGATGCCTTACTTCTCAAGGTAGGGTGAAAGCCCTTTTATACTAATGATCCTTACTATTTCGTACGGGGAATAGGGATTGTAGTTCCAATAGGATCCTCTCCTCTTATTGGCTAATCGTGTCCCCTACTTTTTCTGGTCCAATGATTAGCTCAGGTGCTAGTGCTCTAGGTGCACTCTTTGTCATCTAGAGTCGTTGTATTTTTCCAGTAGCAAGGACATTTTTGGCGAGGTAGAACTTCTCGCGCGGGCGTTACGTCCTGAGAGAACGCGTGCGGCTGGAGCCCTTACTAAGACATCTAGGTTAGGTCTAGCTGAGCGAACTAATGGTTCCTTCAACCTGGAGATCCCACTTCTGGCATGTGCTACGAGGCTCGTCATCAAGTCTCCTAGTCCAATAGTCATAGAGTTTGCAAGCCAGCTATGATGCTCTAGACTTACTGGCTTCATGGGCGCTAGAGCCCATGCTGAGACATCCAAGTCGGGTCTGGCTGTGATACTTGGGGGATCCCGCTTCTAGCCCGCGCTAGAAGGCTCGTCATCAAGTTCCCTGGTCCAATAGTCATAGCGTTTTCTAGATAACTATGATGTTCTGGACTTAATGGTTGTATACACATGTTAGGAACTTGTTCACTCTACACTTTAGTTTCGGCGATGTGACCGCTTATCCCTTCTGGAAGTTACACCACCTGTCAGGTTTTGAAAAGTACCACCTTCTACTTTCTTTCTTATATATGGTAGGAAACTCTTCATTTGTCCCACTTTGTTTTTTGCATTTTACCTCTTCCAGTGATTTCGTTTGATGGCGACTCCGCTGGTCTTGTTCCTACTGCTTATGAGTTTGACAACCTACAGGAGACATATGTGTCTTCAGCAGAAAGGGTGGAGTTCCCCGTTCCTAGCACCGTAATCACTCCCCCCTCCTGCCGGGAAGGTTATCATTTACTTAAAGATGCTTGAAGCCTGTCTCCTCCTGCCTTTGACCAATTTCTAGGAGGAGCTTCTCCACCGTAACGGTTAAAGGGTGTACATTCTGACTCCTAATGCGGTTCATAAGATGGTGGCCTTTGAAATGATATGACGAGCTAATGGTTTCCACCCCAGCCTTCTTTGCCTTCAAATACTTCTTTCGATTTGGGACTACTAGTGACAAATATACCTTTTATACTCGTCGTGGGGGCATAGCCTTGTTCTGGACAGTAAAACACTAAAGAACTGGAAGGAGAAATGGTTATGGGTCAACCGAGATTTTCTTGGTCGAGATCCTTGTCGATCAAACAACTTTTCCAACTTTTCTAATGGTAGTGTTGTTATTCTCATGTTCCTCCTTCTACCCCTGTTTTACACATAATAACCGTTTGACTAGTTATTTCCTTCACAGGTACTGAGTATTCTGTTTCAATGGATCTTATCCTCGGGAAACGACATCAAGGGAAGATGGATCATCGTGTGGTGGATCTGCATGAGAACCTTCATGCACCTTGCCGCATTATCCATCTATTGTATAATGTAGCTCGGCCTCTGGGAGTTCTTTTACTAAGAAAAATCGGACTACCCTGGTCGTTCCTGCACCAGTAACCCTAGTTGTTCGGTTGGCTAAGGGTCCTTATGGTGAGGCTGTAGAGGATAGAAAATAAGGGATTGTGTCCAATGTTCGTCGGGGCCATTTCAAAATGGAAAGTTGTCTAAGCAATAGGTGAACCTTCTCTTGGGGGATGGCTCTAGCGAGGTTGGGAGGCATGTTGTGCAAAGGCATGGATTTACATGCTAAATGTCTTTGATCTCTTTTGGTCCTGGAGTTGTGGTGGTTATACCCGATGGTGATGTTCAACAATCAAAGGGTTTTCAAGGGGCATCTAAGTAGGTCATCATGTCAACAGCTATTGTATCTAGATTTCCTTCTACCCCTTCGTCATCGTGTGGTGGGGTACGGGTTATGCACCGTGAGCCTGTTCCTATGGAGGGTTCATATTGGCTTCCGGCCTCCGGTGCACCACTGTTTATCACGGGATGGGAACTTCGCATTGACTCTCGATTATTTGTTTGTGAAAATTCCCTGGATTTCGCTCGGAAGGCTCTTCCTCCAACGACTGTTGGTGACATGGATGCTATGGGTAGTGTTGTTCTATCCCATAATATGGTTTATGTCGCTGCTCAAGCTTTGTGCTACTGTGTCGCTAGTTCCTGGCGAATTTAGCACCTTGACGACCTCAAACGGGTGCACTCTGATCTTGTGGCTAGTGAAGTTGAACTGGAGTGTTGAGTGTTGGAATTGGAGAAAACAGCATGGAGTTTCAACAAAGAGTATGATCTGCTTGCTGCTGAGAAGGCATCCGTGGAGGTTGTTCGGTCACCGCTGGAGAATGATGTTGATGTTTTGACCCAGTCTATCGAAGGTCTGATGACTCAAAATAAAAGCTTGTAGTGGGATCTTTCTGATCACGAGTGGGAGTTAGATGCGATACGAGTAGAACTACAAAAGGTTGCATGTGGACCAAAAGTGGTTGTGACATTTTGGTGTGGTTCGTGTGATGGATAAGCTAATCGAACATTCAGAGTTTACAGGTGGTGTCACCAGAATTCTACACACTTCATTTGTTGTAGGTGAAGAATTTGGACGTGCCAATTTAAAAGCTATGATTGATGTCGAGACCTACGACACGAAAGGTAGTGATTCCCGTTCAAGCCATATGTTAGTCTTGAAGATGCTATGTTGACGTTTGCAACAATGGATTATGCTACGATTGTTGGTTTAGGGCAGTTAGATATGGCTGGTCTCAGGCTCCTGTGTGCTTTCGATGTTGCTGACGACCCTATCGATGGTCATGGGAATAGTGGTGGTGCAGTTGGTCTTGAAACAGGTGCAGGCAATGGCACTGATGGTAATGTTGTTGTTGGCGTTGTGGAGTTAGTCTTGAAGTTGGTGTTGGCAGTGCTATTGGAGGTGGTGGTGGTATTGGAGGTGGTGTTCGTGGTGCTGGTGGAGGAGATGATGTTGTTGAAGGTGGTGTTGGTGGAGGCGATGATGTTGTTGAAGGTGGTACTGGAGGTGGTATTGTAGTCAGTATCGTTGGTGAGGGCGGAGGCATTGATGATGATGTAGGTAATAATGCTTGATCTGGGCTTGTCCTTGGTACTACCCTTTAGGGTGTGAAATTTGATTTAGTGATTGTATGGTCTCCTTTCTTTTGTTTTAATTAGGCCATGCATGAGCTATGTTCTTGTGAACGTAATTGAACAAACATGTCTTGGCCCTTTATGTTAATGCTGATGTCTTGGTACTGTTTTGTGTTATGATTTTGGATTTCTTGGCTTTTAATTTGGAATGTTTCTGTTTGATATATTTTGTAACACATCAAGGTTTGATATATGTGTTTTGATTTAATGCCTTGGTGTGCCATGCTCTAATGCATTGATGTGTTCGATATGTGCCATGCTCCGACGCATTGGTGTGTTCGATATGCATCATGCTCAAAATGCATTGGAGTGTTCAATATGTGTCATGCTCTAATGAATTGATGTGTTCAATATGTGCCACGCTCTAGTGTATTGGTGTGTTTGATATGTGCCATGCTCAAATGCATTGGTGTTTAGGTTTAGATTTTATGTGGATACTCTTAGTATCTTTATGGTGTTTTTAGAGTGTGGAAACACTTAGTATCCTCTATGTAATGCATTTTTTTAATAAGCGCTTGTATTGTCAAAAATACCAAGGTTTACATTTTTGAGAAATGTAATATTTGTCGTTATCACGCTATGATATTTTGAATTTTCACAAGCTAAGGTCCCTAATTGGATCACAATAAGTGTTCGTCTGCTGGTCCGGGTGATCAACCCGACTATTGTTCACTATGTAATGTATGTATCCCCTTCTACTTAGGGATCTGCTCAGCAATGGCTCGATATGCCTTCTAGAAATGGAATTTTTTCAGGTGCCTTGTGTTCCATGTCCTTGGTATTGGTCGTCCCTCGATTTTCTCGATGGAGTAGGGTCTGTTGCAACGCGCTTCAACCACTTTGTATGGTCCTTCTCATATTGCTCCAAGATTGACGTGTGGTTGTGCGTGGCTAGCTTCGTTATGTCATAGGATATGATCTCCTACTCGAAAGGCTTTTTCTTTTACCCGTTGGTTTAATATCCCTCTGTGGCCTTTTTGTATGCGGATTGGCGCATGCTGGATCGCTCTCGGCATTCCTCCAGGAGATCCAAATTTTGTCTCAAGTCCTTGTCGTGTTGTTGGCTTTGGAAGTGTGTTGTTCATATTGAGCCTATCATTAATTATGCCGGTAGCATTGCTTCTGCGCCATATACCATACTGAACGAAGTATCATTTATGCTTGTACAAGGGGTGGTTTTTTACGACCATAGTATGCCCGGGAGTTCATCTGTCCAGTTGCGTTTGGCTTTCCAGATTTGCTTCTGGATTCCATTTACCAATATCCTGTTGGATACTTATGTCCGCCCATTTGCCTGAGGGTGTGCCATAGATGTAAACCTTTGTTTGATAACCCTTTCAATGTACCAATCTTTGAATGGATTTTCGTTGAACTGCAAACCATTGTAGCTGATTAATATTATGGTTGTTCCAAACATTCTTATGACGTTATCATCTGCCTTCCTAAGATACACATCATTGGCTCTGCTTCTATCCACCTTGTGAAATAGTCCACAGCTACGACTAGGAATTTGATTATACCAGCTACTTCTAGGAATTAATGGTTCTATGATGTCGATCCCCCATTGGTAGAATGGACATGGTCGTTTTAATGGTTCTCAAGGTAGGACGAAGGTCGTTGTATACTTAGGATCCTAATATTCTGTGTGGAAAATAGAGAGTGCAGTTCCAACATGATCTGCTCCTCTTATTGGCTAATTGTGCCCCCTGTTGTGTTAGGGCCAATGATTGACTCAGGCTAGTTCTCTAGGCGTACTCTTTGTCGCTTGGTGTTGTTGTATTTGTCTTGTAGTAGGGATGCTCTTGTTGGGTTTTAGTATACTACAACATCCCCTGGTGCACATACAACCCTAAATACCAGGGATCTATGGTTTCTCTATTATAAACGCAAATATGAATATTCCAAGGTATTACCCTATCTAGCATACAATCTTTGATATTTGGGTAATATAAAAAGTTAGAATACATACCTCTTGATGTAGCTTGAATCTATGAAGCTTGAGATCCTAGTGCCTCAAGTGTGACACCTCAAACGGTTCACACAACATCATGAACTCTTGCAATAACCATGAGAAAAAGATATATGACATGGAAATTGGCTTGCCCTCTATATTATCCACTACTGCCCATTTCACCAACTAATGGGGTCTTTATATAGTGTGCACATTAGGGTTACACCATGTAACCCATGACTTTACCCATTACTTAAGATTCATGGTTTTTAACCTCCATGGAGTATCCATGGGTCACCACATGGGTTAAACCCAACATATGGAATCTTGGATAAAAAGCCCACATATATAAGAATGAATGATTTACACAATCAATCCCTATATATTTAATTAGTCTCTTTTGATTACTAAATCAAGTCCAAATTAATTCTTGATCAATACTAATCAAATAACATGATCTCATATTAATATATTAGAACTTTTAATATATTAATATGTCACAAATATATCTTTTTCTCATAAAAGGTCTATCCAAGTGTTCCGATGCCATGCAACCCAAATGGACCATGCTAGGTCGGGTCAAGTCTTACCAATTATAGTTATGGAATTAGACATTAATCCAACAACTCTTAGTGAAGTCGGACATCTCACGCAGACGTTTAGCCCTGATGGAACGCCTTTGCACTAGAGCCTTTAGTTAGACATCCAGGTCGGGCTTGGCTGAGCTAACTGGGGGATCCGTCGACGTGGAGATCCCGCTTCTGGTCCGTCCTAGGAGGCGTGTCATCAAGTCCCCTAGTATAGTAGTCATAACATTTACTAGCTACCTATGATGCTCTTTACTTACTAGCGTTCTAGGCGCTAGAGCCCTTGCTGAGACATCTAGGCTAGGCCTGGCTAGCCTAATTGGGGGATCCTTCCACCCAGGAGGTCCCGCTTCTGGCCCTCGCTATGAGGTGCATCATCAATGACATAGGATGATTTTGTGACTAGATGTAGAGCTGAGTTTGCACTACTGTTTGAGGTGTGGCAGTTGTTGAGGTAGTTCCAGGACCATCACCAAACTACTGAGATGGTGGCTGGTGTCACCGTTATGTTTCGTGAGATGGCGTTGTTGGTTCACTAGTATGTGGTGGACAAGAAGATGAATAAGGTGAGTTATCTTGAGATACTGAGGAGTGATATTCGACATTTGGTGAGTCGATCTAGTTACAAGACACTAAAGGTTACAAGTACGATGCCTATAAAGAGAGAGGGAGAAACAGAGAGAGAGATATTAATTTGGAAGTGAAGAGGAAAACGAAGTTGGATCAGACTCAAGTTTTAAGGAGTTTGGGTAAGTGGCCCAGGGTATATGATTCGAGATGAAGAGGCCCTCAGGGCCACCTCCGTTGTGTCAAGTGCAACAAGACGCACAATAGGGCGTGTAGGGTGGGTGGTTCTAGTTGCTTCAAGTGCGAACAGATGGGTCATATATAGCAGGGATCATACCGCTGCTATTACTACCATTACCACACCAGTATCTGACCTGATATTCTTCCATTGCAATCAGAGGGGCCACAAGAAGGATCATTGTCTGAGTTTGGCAGAAGCGGGACCAGTGATATCACCAATTCTAGCGATGCTAAGGATTAATTATGGTCGCCAGGGCAAGGCGGATGCGCTTATAGTGAAGAGTAGGGCTTTTTAGGTGACGACCGAGGAGGCTTGCGCAACACTTGTTGTGGTGATGGGTATATATCTGCTTTTCCTGCTTACATTTGTTTGTTTTACTTTTGGGTCGTTCCTCATGAACAGTATCTCTTCATTAATATTGATTGATTCGGGGCTACACGGTCTTTTGTATCGCTTATGCTTAGCAACAGGTTTGATGGAGCTCTGGTGGAGCTAGATTATCCTTTAGATATTGAGATTGCAGATGATCGACATGTCCAAATAGTGAGGGTTCATCACGGTTGTTCTTGAGATTTTAGCGACCAGTATCTTATTGGTTTGGTTCCCATCCTGTGCACGAAAACAAAGTTATTGTAGGGATGGACTGGTTGAGACCTAATGGGATGATGATCGATTATGAGCATCAATTAATGCGTATTCAGACCCTAATTGGGGGAGAGTTGGTGGTTTAGGAAGAGATAACTCAACGTGGGCTGATTTGATGTTCAGTGGCTAGGGCCAGATGTTATCTTCATCAGGGTTGTTCTGGATATGTCACTTATGTTATGGATACACAGGATAAGGGTAACGCAACCATGAAGGATGTGCAGATTGTGTGGGAGTACCCAAATGTGTTTCTGGAGGATTTTCCTGGAGTACCTCCGGAAAGGTAGGTGGAGTTTAGGATTTAGTAGGAACTTGGTGCGACTCTGATAGCCAAGGCACTGTAGTGGTTAGCTCCTACATAGATGCAGGATTTGTCTACACCATTGCAGGAGCTTTTAGACAAGGGGTTTATTTTACCAAGTTGTTCGCCCTGGGTGTTTATCTACACGTAAAGTTCCGAACTTTACGTGTTAATCGAGCCCTAATAACCCAAATCTATGGATGTAATGCACCGGATTTAAGCAGAATCGAGTATATAGTGATTGCATGCATGCGACTTGGCGAGTTGTTCTTCAGACTCGACGAGTCGAGTCGCGAGTCCCCGATTTTTCCCCTTTTGAGTCAATGCCCTGACTCAGCGAGTCCAAGGCAATCTTCTTGCCTCAAGAAAAAACTCTAAGAGTTGTTCATACAACTCGGCAAGTCACAGACTAGAGTGTTCATCAGATGAAGATGAACTAGACGAGTTGTTCATACAACTCGGCGAGTCGGATGAAGGACCATTGGATATTTATATAGAAGGAGAACTCGTTGAGTCAATGCCTAGCTTGACGAGTAGGGACGGTTGGCGAGCTAACTCGGAGAGTCGGGTCAACTGGAAGTTTGACTTTGACTTTGAGTTTTCACTTGGTCGGGGGTAAAATGGTCATTTTACCCTAAGGGCAGTTAG